CACCAGAAGGTCTTGCCTTAGGCATTCAGGCACACATCCTACTTCTGTCAGGGATGATGGATGCAACCTGTGACCCCAGGTTTTCAAAAAATATTTTGGTTTTTTTCGTAATAAGTCACCCCAGATAACGTCACGGGGACGGTCCAATATTTTATAGGGTGGTAAGACCAGATTTCCCAGCTTTGTGTTGCTTTTAACTACCCCAAAACACCAGAACTGGACCTAACCCCAACCCACCTATGTCCCACAAGAGAGTGCATCCTAGGTCCCTTGATTGCATGCAGCCTAGGTCCCACGACTGCATGCAGCCTATCTACTACCCCCTGAAATATTGGACTGTCTGTTTCGGGTGAATAAAAACGAAAACACCAATATTTTATATGTTGTCAAATACAGTAACAAGACTACTGCTATTTAGTTACCTAACTGGTTTAGAATCAAGTATAGAGGTTCTGAAGAGAGTGGGAAGGAAAAAAGAGTTTTTGAGAGAAACAGCAGGGGACAAGTGAAATGTATCATCAACATTCTTAAAAGACATAACACTTTAAGAAACAAATAACTGGAGGAGATAGAAAAAGCAAAGCGAATAAGAGGTAGACAGCGACACAGTTGGAAGGACAGCATCCAGACATGGATAAAAAGTAGTTTGAGAGTGAACAAACAGGAATGAGAAAATATGGGGTGTGTGAGGTCTGTTATAGCCAATTGTTAATGTTTAGACAGCATCTGATTTATTGAACTGATTCCAAAGAATGATCTTTATCTGATGAATTTAATGGTACTCATAATTTCCCTGTGGGACCTGTGGTAGCGTAGTGGCTAGACACTCCTCTGCTAGCCTGAAAGTTTTGATTTTGATTCTGCATTGAGACATTTGTTTCTTTCAAAATTGACCTTGACTGCCAGATCAACCCAACCTTAAAGAGATTCTAGTAATTACCTTATAAGTAGAAGTGGCTGTGATTTTGACCACATTGCCCACCAATTACCGACTGTTCTATAAAATTGATTCTAGCCTCTCACCCCTGTGTGGGTTCCGGGACCCTATTATAGGGAAAACAAGAATAGACCCACTGCCTACCCAAAAGCATGTCATTAGAGTCGACTAATTGGGAGCTTCCTTCAAAGCTGGGGTGCATCTGCCTCTGAGGCAAGGAACCAACAGTCTGCACACAAATGTGTCATATCTGTCAAACGTATGCACACGCAACACTCAAATTCTGCATCAGGACTGCAGTCCAGAAGGGGAAGAACAACCAGAACTTTGCACCAGAGTTTACAGCTGGTGAACGCAAAGAAGATTCTAGCATCATATGCTGATGTGCCAGGAGTCCCATACTCTTTTGTAATCTAGCTACTTGGAGGCTCCAGCTGGAGAATGGCTTGGGGTCTGGAGGTTCTGCTCTTCGGTGTGCCATGTTGATCGGGTTTTCGTACAGTCCAACAGATACTACTACAAATGCCCTGCACTAAAAAGAAAGTGTCCCCAACCGGTTTTTTTTTTTTTTTTTACTTATTTTCCCTTGCTTGTGTGTTCATTGGTTTGAAAGAATGTTCTCTTGAAAGGCATGCAGCAAATACTCACTATCAGATTTCTGGCTTGAACTGTTTCTAAATATCAGCATGTCTGTTTTTTTCTGGATATTTATGTTGTTTTTTGCAATGTTTGTGTTGAATAGTAGGAATTAAATTAATGTTTTTTTTAATTTTACTTTTAGTGCAGAGATCTGAATTTATTATCAATGAAAATACAAACATGGACTAAGTTATGTGAATATAATGAATTGTCGGCAGTCTTTATTGCTCAGTTTGCTTCCCAGAACTTGTCAACAATGAAAATAGTATTGTCAAAATATAATGTTAGAACATGATTCACTGCCAAGACAACAGAGAAGCCTTGAAACATATTGGATGCTGTTGTTGTTTGTTTGCATTCCCTGGCTGTAAACCCCAGCAGAAAGACCTAGCTGTGTGTTTGCATTCACTGGCTGTAAACCCCAACAGAAAGACCTAGTTGTTTGTTTGCATTCACTGGCTGTAAACCCTGGCAGAAAGACCTTGTTGTTTGTTTGCATTCCCTGGCTGTAAACCCCAGCAGAAAGACCTTGTTGTTTGTCCATTTCTGGACTTCAGCTTTGTTCTTGGACCTGAGTTTTGCATGCACATCAGTTTTACATTTCTTGCTTATTTTTATGCAGACTGTTGGTTCCTTGCCTCTCAGGCAGATGCACTCAAACTTTGAAGAAAGCCCCCAATTAGTCGACCCTTACGACACACTTGTTAGGAAGGCGGTGGGTCTATTCTTGTTTTCCCCACAATGAGACATCCAAACGCAGAAGTGGATGCTAAAACCTATGTTTGCTTAGTCTGATCTTCATTTTTGAGTCATTTTCTTCTATCATTCCTTTCATTATCATCATAAACCACTTCTGCTATTAAGTGTCGTGGGGAGGAATAATTTTCGATCCTTTACATGCTGGCTGCCACTGGCTATTGTCATGCCATGAAGGCGTAGAATGTCTTTAACTTTGTCAGTCCATAATTTTGCGGCCGTCCTCTTGCTCTTGTAGCTGATCTGAGATGTAGTGCCTGTGATGGTATTTGATCTTGCTGCATTCTAACAAGATGTCCAAACCAGTCAATTTGCTGTTTCTTGAAGAATCAAGTACAAGGTGTGGTTCCCATGATTTGTCTGACAATATTATTGTTTGGATTCCTTTTTTCCGATTAAATGTTAGATTAACTTGCTGCTCTTGTGTCTGCTTTTGTCCCAGCTAGAGTTGATTTCAGCTAAAAAAATCTTAGCACTCGTCCACATTCCTGTAATCACCCCATCCCCATCTTCAGCAGCCAGCGTGGAGTTCCAATCCTGATGGTACCAGTAGCAGCCTTATTGTATGCCAGTCTTGCTCTGAGAGTAGAGTGTCAGCCAGAACCCCTGGCCACTCTCCGATGTACTATTCTTTTTATACTATGATGGTCAGTTTTCATTAGAGAGTTTGTGTTCTGTGCTCTTTATCACTATTTTCTTGTAACAGATAGTTGTTATATTAAATCATTATATTCCTGTTATTACTTTTAATTCCTGTCACATCATGGCCTGCAGTTACACAAATATGATGTATCCAGGTTATTATTTTAGCTGTGTTTATCACAGACATTTGGTATATTAACTGGATATCCTTGGTTATTTGAACTACACAGAAAGGTGTTAAATTAACTAACTCTTTTCTTGTTGCTATTTTAACCACTGTCAAAAAACCAGCTTTTGTTCTAATCCACTGCATTGAAGTTGTTACTTTAACTCTGTTTTCCCCATATGTTTGTTAAATTACCTGTTAATAGAACCAATCACAGATGTTTTTATTTTAACCACTATACTCCTGTTGTTACTTTTAACTCCTGTCACAACTATTTGTCATATTAACTCAGTGCATTATTGTTATGTTAACTCCTGCCACAACTAGAATTGTTACTTAAGTTGTGTTTCTTCTAGCTAGTTGTTATACTAATCTACCATATCAAAATTGTTATTTTAGTTGTGTTTCTCCCATCTAGTTGTTATACTAATCTGCCATATCCAAATTATTATTTTAGTTGTGTTTCTCCTATCTAGTTATACTAATCTGCCATATCAAAATTGTTACTTAAGTTTTGTTTCTCCCACCTAGTTGTTACACTAATATACCATATCAAAATTGTTACCTGAGTTGTGTTTCTGCTAGTTAATTTTTATATTAATCTGTCGTATCCAAATTGTTACTTTAGTTGTGTTTCTCCCAGCTAGTTGTTATTCAAACATGCTGTATCAAACTATCGTCTGGAAAGACGGAAAGGTGCCAGTCATGTATCAAAATTGTTACTTTAGTTATTTTTCTTCCACCTGGTTGTTACATTAGCCTACTGTACCCTATATTTAATCATTTCTGTTTGTCCCGGATAGTAATTACATTAACCAAAGGTATCCATGTTACCTGAACAAGTCATTGAAAGTTGTTAAATTAACCCATATTTTTTTAGTTTAATACTTCAAATCTGTTTCTCTAGCTACAGTAGGTTAATGTAACAATTAGCTGATGGAAACAGATTTGAAATAATAAACTTAGTTCAAAGACAAAACTCAGAATATACAACAGCATTGTTTTAGGAATACTGTTATACAACATGATATTTAAATATGACAGTGGGAATTACACATAAACTAGAGATTTTTTGTAAACCAAACATACAAAGAGAATGTTGCGAATATTTTGTCCAAACAAGATCACAAATGATAGGAAAACAAAATGCCCATCACTGGCAAGCAGTATCAAAGGAAGAAGATGGAGGTAGCTTGGACATGTTTGCAGAATGTCTTGTGACACTTTGGCAAGGATAGCTCTACTGCGGGGCGGGGGGAGGGAGGGGAAAGGGGGGGGGAGGAGTTGTGGACAAGCTAAGGAAATTAAAGCCATAAAAAATTTACATGTAATATCATCAACAGAAAGGCCTTAGACTGACAGCAGACAGGCACTTGTGAATGCCTTGTGTCCGCCATGACGTGAAGGGGATTTAGGTCTACAGACAGACAGGCACTTGTGAATACCTTGTGTTAACCGTGCCTTGAAGAGGATTTATGTCTACAGACTGACAGACAGATAGATAGAATGAATGAACTTTTTTCATCATTGATTGATGTATAGATTACTGTTTGATTCACTGGTATATTGAATCCACTTGTTATTATAACCCTCTTTTTTTCCAGAGAGTAATTATGTTAAGTCAAGGTATCCTTGTTATTTTACTTGAACAATTTGCTGAAAGTTTACCCATTTGGGCTAACTCATTACTTCACATATGATTTTCCTGACCAGTTGTTACATTAACCAACTATATCCAAGTTGTTAATTATTTATGTGTGTTCCAGATAGTTGTTAAATTAACACAAGGTATCCTTATTAGTTCAACCAATTGCACAAAGCTGTTAAATTAACTTTTTGTATTGTGATTCAATTTCTCAGCTACCCAAAAGAATTTGAAATCAAAGAGGGCTGCTTGTTCTACCAGGAACGGTTGGCAGATTGCTTACGTAGCTCTGGTCTTGATGTAACCAGGTTGAACACACCTTTCTCTACACGCCCTATTCTAAGTCTAGGCGGTAAGTTACATTTTATAGACAATGATTCCCTGTGTGTGTGTTCTGGAGACCCCATTGTGTGGGGGGGGGGGGGGGGGATAGACCCACTAACCCCCTAATAAGCAGTCGTAAAAGTCAGCTAATTAGGGGTTTGCTTCAGAGTTGGAGTGCATCTGCCTAAAATGTTGGAATGTGACCAAAATCCAGAAAAGGACAAACAACCAGAACTTTTTTGCCAGAGTTTACAGCTGGTGAACGCAAAAAAGAAGAAGTATTCAAAGTAGTTGACAGGTAGTGTAGGTATTTTGTAGAACAGTAGATAGTGAACTTGCTTGCTAATGTAACTGTCAGTTCTCTGTCAGATTTGACTTGAGTTACCATACAACAATACTCAGCACTACCTATTCTCTATTATCCCTTTAGCCCTAAGAGGCCAAAAACCTGGCACATCTGTTGGTTACAAATGCTTACAGCTTAACTGGCACTGCTGCAATGACTTGGTCTCTGAGAAGGCTTGTTAACAGTATTGGTTCATTGCATCTGTTTGCGTCTGCAGAGTGTTTAGGAGGCCCTGGGTATGATTATATTTGCTAAAAAAAACATTTGGGGAAAAAAAATTGCTTCATTGGTTTTTTCAAGGCAATAATTTATCTTGACTTAGTAATCATATGATATTAGACATTAAATTTAAAATGGAGATTGCTTGACCTAAACAAGTTTCAGTAGACCAAGAGGTGAAGAAAAGATGCTGGCGTTGGATAGGACACATGTTGAGAAAACCTAAGAACAGTGTAACTAGAATGTCTTTGTACTGGAACCCACAGGGGCATAGAAATAAAGGAAGAGCAAAAAACATATGGAGAAGGGAGCTAAGTTAAAAAGATGGGGAGAGCTGCATGCCATAGCAAAGGATAGAAAGACTTGGTGTGAGTTGGTTGAAGGCCTGTGCTGCATTGGAGATTATAAAAGTAGAAGAAGATGTAATCACATAGGTCATAGCGTCAAGTATGAGTTATCTAATACATTTCTTTTTGGCCAAAGGGAGTGAAGTCCATTTAATTCTCTGCTCTATTTGTATTTATTGATGACTGAAAAGCACAGATATCACAGCTAAGCTGCAAACTACAACACAGCATGCTACCCACCTTTTTAAGAGTTAAAACAAAAGAGAAAGTATTTATTATTTACTCCCCTTTACTGCCCGCCTGCATCAGAAAGAGACAGTCTACATTCTTTGGTCATGTGATGAGAAGAAGAAAACTGGAGCACATCATGACAGTAAGGAAAGTTGTAGGGGAGGGGAGGAGAGGCAGGTGGAGACCAGGAGAAAAGATGATAGACAGTTTGACATCATGGCATGGACGATCATCTGTGTCAGAGTTGATTGAAAGTACACAAGACAGAAGGTGTCGATTGATATGACTACCAACGCCACACAGCATGGAAAAATTATCAGTGAACTCAGTAAAAAAAAAAAAATTTTTAAGATTTTTTTTAGATATTCCCGGGATCATAGCCTTTTCTTCCAAGCAGTTTTTGGGTAAAAGGTTGAGTGCTGAATGTTGGGAGGTGTTTACCAAACCTGACATCCCACTTGTGTCAGCAGGTTCAGGTGGAAGATTACACTGGGGAAAATACTAGCCTTTTCATAGATGAGGAAGTGCAACCTGCAAACCTCATGTTATGGCAGGGCAGAGCAGGCCCTTAGCTTTGGTTGGCCGCTGGTCTTAGAGGGAAGCTCACACAGACAGGACAGACAGACCAGGCCCTTGGCTTTGGTGATTCATATGCTCCTCCGAATTGTACACGCTATTCCATATGGCCTTAACCACATCTGCCTTATAATGCATGAGTATTCCACCAAGTTGTGCAGATTCAGCCAGTCTTTCTGCCTGTTAATTTCCTAATACACCGACATATATGGAGAAAAGATCCAGTGTTACTCACCCGTGACCTCTGAAGTGAAGCATGCCACTCTGCACGAAGCATACATGTCCTCACCTTCCTCAGCATGCTTTTCTAAGTCAGTCACGATGTGTGTGTGCAAGCGTGCGTGTGTGTGCCTGCGCGCGGGCAGGTGTGGGTGTGTCATGTTCCCTAACCAGCAGAAAACTACAGTGACCGCCTCTACCTTCATTCTTAATGTGGATGTTGTGGTATCACCTGCTAGGTTGTCCTGTACCAAATGTTGACCCTTAGCTTTTGCTAAAAAAAAAACCCAAGCACTTCTTTTGCCCCTTGACACTGAACCGTCTGTATAAATAATCACATCCTCTGAGTGAGCATCATCTTTAATTTATTGCTGAATTCCCACCTCCTGAAAGACTAATGCAGTTGGGGAGTGAGCAGAGGCTCTGAAAAATAGTAGTAGTACATATTACCCCCCACCAGGACATCACACAAGCGATAAACACCCGATGACACAAAGTTCCACCAAGCGGATGAGGATCACCCGAGGAGAGGTCCCAGAAACCGCGTTCAGCCATTAGACCAAATTTATGGTCGGGCTATATTGCGGCCCCTGGCAAGAGCCAGAGTATGGCTTCAAATATGGTGATGGCTTCCCACATGGGGATGACTAGAGAGACTGAAAAATATTCAAAACTGATGGGGAAAATAGGTGGACTTATTGTCGTTACAGCTGATACTATTAGCACATCAATTCTCCATTACCTGCTGAAGAAGGGGATAAAGCATGTGTGGGAATGTCCCAAGTGCAGGGATGTCAATTGTTGTTTCATTCATTCATGTACAGTTGTATTAGGGAGGGCACCCTCCGCTTACAAAGGAACCGGTAGTCCAATATGAGTGCTGTGAATATCAAACAGGACCAATGTGTTCATGGGTTACCATTTTTCACTTTCCTTATAGACCTTCTTCTTATTCTTCTTCGCATTCACCGGCTGTACACCCCAGTAGTAAGTTCTGGTTGTTTGTTCACTTCTTGACTTGTCTTGTTCCAGAACCTGAGTTTTGTATGCACATCCATTTTACAGATCTGGCTTTTTTTTTTTTTTTGGCGGACTGTTGGTTTTCTCGCTTCTTAGATAGATGCACTCTGACTTTAAAGGAAAGATCCTTAAACAGTCAACTCTCACAATTAGCTTCTTAAACGGCAGTAGGTCTGTTCTTTTTGTTGCCCACAATGAACCCCGGAACCCACACACAGAGATTATAGACCCAGATAACAAGTCACTAAAAGATTATTTCAAACTGTTAATTTCCCTGCAGGTTCTGGTGAGGGCAGCACAAGTATCAGTGATTTAGGGTCTATAAATATTGACTTTGACAACATTGATGGCTCGCCACATTTGCCGGTATGATGTTCGTTATTTTGTTTTTGTTCTTGTAAAATAAAAGAGGTAAAGGGCCTTTTTTTTTCATCGTTCAGCTGCTGAGTTGAGCGCATAGTGTGACACTGTGAGCTGTGAAATTAATTTAGAATGCTTTTTGACTGTGCCCAATGTGTTGTGAACTGCAGAATCAGAAAATGGTGAGGGGCCTATTGCCAGAAAACTGCTGGTGCGGTATGTGATTAATTACATGTGCAAACTACTCATCTGTTGTAACTGCTGCTTCCATCAGTGCTGAATTATATTTCTAGTGCCGGATTGTTTGTGTTAGCACTTCTGATGGCTGCATGTATATGCTGTTGGCTTTGCTGAGTTTGCAGTCTGTGTCAGGGACACACACAAGGGACAGGGATAGACATTCTGGGTGGTTGTTACAGAAACAGAACAACTAGGGGGTGACCCGTCTGCTATCAAGCTGGAACTGCAGTTACATGATTACCTACCTGGTCAGGTGTGTGGTGCCAAATCCAGATTTGTGTGGACCAATTTGATTGTACTAGCTGCCTTTACTTCCTGTGATATGGGACCTTATTTAAGTTGGTTCTAGCTGGGAACCAAGATCATTTTATTAAACGTCTGCCACAGTGCAGATTTTAACTGTAACATTCATGCAAGTAAGCATCTTACCACTGCGCCACCGTGCCCCCCCCCCCCTATTTATGTTATTCTTGTAGATTTAGTTCATTAGACAGTTGCTCAGCATCACATATTCAGTGTTGCTTCTGTCTTATCTGTTTTTTCCCTTTGGGCTGCTAGCTGGAGGATTACCACCCTCAGATTGAAAAAAAAAAAATCTGTATCTGGATGGTAGACCAATAGGTCAGGTCCCAGATTCTCCAGCCCCCCCACCCCCACCTTTTTGTAATTTAATGTAATTTATTTTGAGTAAAAATTTCCTCATTTCCCCCCCCCCCCCCCCCCCCCCCCCCCTCTTCCTTTTCCAGGATTGTAGTCTAGGATTAAAATCTCAAGGATGAGAGTCACGCAGGTGCAGATCCTGGTAATGTTCAGCCATATAGCACTACAAAATGGTTACAAAGTTAGCCTGTAGTCCAGTGTGGGTGGATGTAGGCACCACCATTCAACCTCCAAATAAGCTATAATTAGGAAACCCATCACTGCTACACCAGACAGGGTTCACCTTCAATTCACCTTCAGTTCTGTGTGGGTAAACTCTGGTGTAAAGTTCTGGGTTTTTTTCTTCTGTCCAGTTCTAGACTTGAGTCATGTATGGGCAAGGACCGTCTGCTTTGTGTTGACTCTGCATTTACGCAGTCTGCATTGGATGGCAGGGAATGCCATGTTATGTATGTCTCAGTCTATCATAAAAGGCTGCATGCATGCAACCCATTCTGGAGGAGGCTGCCCCTGGGCATCACCTGCAGATGAGTGGGTGGAGAGGTTGTATGATTCCCCCTCTGAACTCACCGGAAAGGCTTAACCTGGGCAACAAATGCCTGAAGAAGCTGGATGTGTCTGCCAAAGGTTCACACATGCTGCTGCAGTGCTTTAAATGTGCACAACACATTTAGATTGGGACAAATAAAATTAAATGAGAAAGAAGAGAAAAAGACAAGAATCTTGCTTGAGTAATTTTTTTAATGCCTATAATTTTTTTTAATGATTTTGCTGCTGCAAAAAAAAAAAAAAAAAAGGAAATCTTGCATTTCAAGTCATTTTTTAACAATTTCTCATTTTTATGCTGAGTTAGCAGTTCGTGACTTTAGCAGAGTGGACGATTAAGAGAAACAGTTGTGGTCATCATCATCAGGTGCCTTGCCGACTGGCATGGGCGATCATGCCTCTCCATAATCCGCGATCTCCTGCAGCATGTTTCAGTTCGTGTGCCGACACACCTCCATGCCATGCAACAAGACTGTCAAGCATCTCCTCTCGAGGGCAGTTGTGGTCACAGTGCAGATTTTAACAAGACAGAAATCTCTTCTTCTTCTTCTTCTTCGTGTTCACTGACTGACGGCCGAATACGAATAGCGGGACCAACTATTTGGCTGAATACTAATACGACTAGTGCATTATCATCTTCAGGTGCCTTGCCGACTGGCGTGGGCGATTATGCCTCGCCACAATCTGCGATCTCCTGCAGCATGTATCAGTGCCATGCAACAAGACTTTCAAGAATCTTCTCTCGTTGTCTTCCTCTATTCCTCCTTCCACAGATCTTTCCAGTGGTCATCACACGTTCCATTTTCCCTCTTCTCATAACATGGCCGAAAAATGATGACTGTCTCCTTCTGATGTCTGTGATTAGTTGTCTTCGGGCTCCCACCGCTTTCAAAAACTCTTGGTTGCTTTTTTTTCCCCGGCTGTCCGAGGTATTTTAAGCATTGTTCTGTAAAACCACATGTCTGAGGCCTCAAGAAATTGTTTGGCCTGCCTACCGATTGTCCAGGACTCACAACCATATGTTAAAACTGGATGTATGTAGCAAGCAAGAATTATTTTTCTAATTCTCAATGACAAAGATATATTGCATATTATGTTCTTCATTTTATAAAATGCAGTTTTTGCCTCTCCTATTCTGTTTATTATTTCAGTATTGCATCTTCCATCTGATGTTATCCATGTGCCCAGATACTTAAATTTATGTACTTGTCCTAAAATAACACCATTGACTTTTATTACACGTTTAGGAATAATTCTTTTCTTTGATACCACCATTACTTCTGTCTTCCCACTATTCAAACTGAGGCCTATTCTTCCACTATCGAATAGTGTATAGTCTATAAAATAGATCTAAAAAACACATTCATAATTTCAAATGTATGCTGAAATTTTACTCCCCAAAATGTAGTACAAAATAGTAAACATTTAAAAATATTTTATGTTTTGCATCCTTCAGTCAGTCTGTGGTAACTAATACCTAGGAATGAAAGCTTTATAACAAGTAACTAAACTTGTAAATTGTCACTGACAGCTTAGTTAATGCATGAAAGTGACTTAGGCAACAGCAACTATCGCAGTAAATGCAGAAACGGGTGTAAGGTAACCTCTATTCGTGTTCGGTCTGACCGCAAGTATTCGGCCGAATACCAAATAGTTATTAGGTCCACTATTCGGCCCCCAAGCGAATATTCAATACAGCCCTTATTTCTACAAGTATTGCCCCTGGAGAACCCTTCAGGACAGTGTGTTTAGACTGGTCGACCCTCAAGGTTCCATGTTACGAATGAGTTTTTCATGGATGTTATCAACCATGCAGTGGTTAATGGGCTCATGAGAGCCATAGGATTTCTAGACTACTGCACCTCTGGGAGACACCAACTCCAAGATCCCCTGCCATGTCTCAGTTTTAGGCGACTAGCCATTATCCATGGTGCATGGCTAGAACTTAAGGTAGGAGTCTTGCATGAGGATCCATATTACAGATGATTACAGATGATGCATGGCTAGAACTTATGACAGGAGTCTTGCATGAGGATCCATAAAAACCAGCACAGAGCTGGTGAGGTAGGGAGTGTCTCCGTATACACGTCACAACAGCCCCAATTTCCCTGACACCTGTGACTGAGATTACAGCCCTGTGGTATGTAATTTAGTTTTAAAAACTATTTCATTTAGGAGATATTCTAATTGTGCTAATTTTGCATTTTCTTTTCTTACAGAAGAAGACAGAAGAAATCACAGTAGATTCTCTGAAGAAAATGTTGGGTTGGTATTCGGTTATTTCTTTTCTTCTTTAGTAATCATATTCATGCCATTACTGTGCTACCAGTGCCAAAATCGACACTATCAAACACTAATTAATACATAGTCCAGCGATTAAATAATGAGATGAGTTTTATAGCCAAGATAAAAACACATCTAGCATGTGACAGATAACCCACCATTTCATTCAGTTAGTGAGAATTGCTTTCTTATACATGCAGCCTGTAACAGATAACCCACCATTTTAGTGAGATTTGCTTTGTTATACATGCAGCATGTGACAGATAACCCACCATTTTAGTGAGATTTGCTTTGTTATACATGCAGCATGTGACAGATAACCCACCATTTTATTCAGATAGTGAGAATTGCTTTGTTATACATGCAGCATATGACAGATAACCCACCATTTCATTCAGTTAATGAGAATTGCTTTGTTATACATGCAGCATGTGATAGATAACCCACCATTTTATTCAGATAGTGAGAATTGCTTTGTTATACATGCAGCATGTGACAGATAACCTACCATTTCATTCAGATAGGTAGAATTGCTTTCTTATACATGCAGCATGTGACAGATAACCCACCATTTTATTCAGATAGTGAGAAGTGCTTTGTTATACATGCAGCATGTGACAGATAACCCACCATTTTATTCAGATAGTGAGAATTGCTTTGTTATACATGCAGCATATGACAGATAACCCACCATTTTATTCAGATAGTGAGAATTGCTTTGTTATACATGCAGCCTGTGACAGATAACGAACCATTTCATTCAGATAGGTAGAATTGCTTTCTTATACATGCAGCATGTGACAGATAACCCACCATTTTATTCAGATAGTGAGAATTGCTTTGTTATACATGCAGCATGTTACAGATAGCCCACCATTTTTTTCAGATAGTGAGAATTGCTTTGTTATACATGCAGCATGTGACAGATAACCCACTATTTCATTCAGATAGGTAGAATTGCTTTCTTATACATGCAGCATGTGACAGATAGCCTACCATTTTTTTTCAGATAGTGAGAATTGCTTTGTTATACATGCAGCATGTGACAGATAACCCACCATTTCATTCAGATTGATAGAATTGCTTTGTTATACATGCAGCATGTGACAGATAACCCACCATTTCATTCAGATTGATAGAATTGCTTTGTTATACATGCAGCATGTGATAGATAACCCACCATTTCATTCAGATTGATAGAATTGCTTTCCAGTGCCAAACTCAACACTATCAAACACTAATTAATACATAGTCCAGCGATTAAATAATGAGATGAGTTTTATAGCCAAGATAAAAACACATCTAGCATGTGACAGATAACCCACCATTTCATTCAGTTAGTGAGAATTGCTTTCTTATACATGCAGCCTGTAACAGATAACCCACCATTTTAGTGAGAATTGCTTTGTTATACATGCAGCATGTGACAGATAACCCACCATTTCATTCAGATAGGGAGAATTGCTTTCTTATACATGCAGTATGGAGCAGAGAGCAAAATTACATTACATTTTAAACTCTGAAAAAAGGATGTTGAGACAGTTGAATTGGTGAGACAAGTTTATGGGGGAATCATTGTATCACATGCTGCATATGTCACCACACAACTCTCACTTGCTAAACAAAATGGCGAGTTACTTGTCTGCTGGCCAGGTTGCCTTACAGTTTTGTCTGATCATTGATGAATGTTGCCTTTGTGGATGACCCACTTTGCTTCATGGACAGGGGTTTTGTCTTGGTCACAATTCTTCTTCTTCTTTCACTCGCCTGAAATAAGTTGTCTATATCAGCAGTTTTGTCTCTTGTATAAATTTCACTGTCGTTGTTAGGTCATTCAGTGGTCCATTGGTCCGTGATTATTTAATGGCCCGGCTGCAAACAAATAAAATCAACGTATATGAGATGATTGATATGCCTAAAAAAAGCTGTCAGTTTAACCATCATTCTTCTTCTTCTTAGTGTTCACGGGCTGTAAACTGTGGCTGAAAGTTCTGGTTGTTCATCCACTCCTAGACTTTGGTCTTGATCCAAAACTTGAGTTTTGTGTAACCATCCATTTTATAGATCTGGCTTATTTGTTTGCAGAATATTAGCTGCTTGCCTCCCAGGCAGATGCACTGCGACTTTGAAGGATACCCCAAATTATACACCTCAGATGACATGCTCATTAGGGGGCAGTGAGTCTATTCTTTGTTCTCCAAAATGGAGCCCCGGGTCCCACACAGGAATAACCATCATTCAGAAACAAGAAGAAATAGGGCATTACAATGTAGCAACAAGCCAAGAACCACATTTTTTCACTTTATATTTGACCATAATTTTGACCATTTTAAAAAAGCATAACATCTTTATAATATCTGTGCTGAAGTGAGTATAACCTCAACAGATAAATGAGTAGCAGTCTGGGGTCCAAATGGAGCAATGATGCGCAATACAAGACTCTTAATGTCTATTAGCCTCTCTTGCTCAAGCCTACCTCACCTTCACGTGGTGGACCCTGTTCTTCCCAGCAATCCAGTTGAAGGTTGGGGTCTTAACCCCCAGCGGGAAACTGGATGGGACAACAAACGAGGTAAAGGCGAAGGGATGAGCCTACTCTCCCTCCCAAGAGATCCTGAAGTCGGAAATACTGGGCCAGAAGGCGGATCAAAAACCACAGTACTACGCAACCCCACGCTATATATATGTTTACACCGTCAGACAAATTTAATGTTGGTGCTCGCCCTGTGGAACTCCACCAGGCAGGTGCAGTGCCGGGTTCTGAGCCTCGACAGAATCCACCCCCAGCTACTGGAGGACCTCCTAGACCGTCTTGTGGAGTCAGGAGACGGCGGAGGATAGCTACTGACCAAAACCAGTTAGACAGAAAAGATCCCAAATTGCCTTTTGTCATTATGCACTGGAATGCAGAGGGGGTCAGCAGTAAGCAGGCTGGCTACAGCAAAAAGTTGGAGCTGGAAAACATCCTCTATGAAAAGCATGTCAGTGTATGCTGCATCCAAGAGACCCATTTGCAGGCAGATCAGATATTTAAAGTGAGAGGCTACCAGTGCTTCAGATCTGACAGACAAGGCAGGCGAAAAGGAGGAGTACTCACCCTTGTGAAAAACAGTATCCATCCATGCGAGAAAATGTCTTATATGGATGGAGCTGAGTACCAACTCCTGCAGCTTAAGACAGACAAAGTGGAATTAGAACTCCTTAATTACTACTGTCCCAATGACAAATCGCTAAACCTCAGCTCTGTGCCAGTACCAAACACCAACTTTATTGCAGTTGGAGACTTCAACAGTCATTCACAGAGCTGGGGCTATAACCATCTCGACAATAGGGGTGAAGAGGTGGAAACATGGCAAGATGACCACTCTCTGATCCTGATAAATGCCCCCTCAGATACGCCTACCTTCTACTCCAGAAGGTGGCAGACAACGTCGACCCCAGATCTTGCCTTCTCTACCCCAGATATATCTGGAATGATAAGTAGAGAGGTGGGAGACCAGCTTGGGGGCAGTGACCATCGCCCGATTTTTCTCACTGTCCAGAATGTACCAGTTAATACAGGCCCAGTCATCACAAGATGGAACTACAAGAAAGCCAACTGGGGCCTGTACAGACACAGGACAAGCACATTGTTGTCTGCTCTCAAGGTACAAAATAGGGATATCAATGCTATAGTGCACGATTTCAATAGAAGTATTCTACAAGCTGCAAAAGAAGCAATCCCCAGAGGCTGTCGACGCAACTATAGACCGTACTGGTCCAGCACACTCCAGGAATGCCAGGAAACAATGAATCAGACTAGAAAGGATGCAGAATCCCAACCTTCACCTGACAACCACATCAAATGGAAAAGGGCTGTAGCAGTGTTCCAGAAAACTAAACTTGAAGAAAAACGGAAAAGCTGGAGAAATAAAACAGCAGCTCTAAACCTTGATAAAGATGGCAAGAAACTCTGGAGATTAGCCAAATCACTCAATGAAGAGAGTTTCTCGCCTAGACAAACAATCACGCTAAGTGATGGTGACAAAATCTTCAGAGGAAAACAAGCTGCAGATTTGTTTGCCAAAACATTCAGTGTTGAAAGCAACCTGACCCTTAATGAGGACCATCAGAGAGAAATAAGGAAAGAAATACAAACAAGCAAACAAACAAATAAGAGACAGACAGATACTCCTGCCTCTATGAGGGAGCCATTTACCATGGGTGAACTACAAAATGCCATCTTTAGGCTTAAGTTAAAAAAGTCTGCAGGTCCGGATGAAATCAGCAACGAAATGCTAATCAACCTGACCTCATCTGCTAAAGTAAAGCTGCTGAAAATTTTCAACATCAGCTGGGAGAAAGGTTTAGTGCCTCAAGTATGGAGAGAAGCCATCACAATACCCATTTTAAAAAAAAAGGAAAAATTAAGACACAGGCTTCGAGCTATCGCCCAATTAGTCTCACAAGCTGTGTAGGAAAGACATTGGAAAGAATTGTAAATTCAAGACTGAAATGGCACTTAGAATCTGAGCAGATCTTGGTGCCAGAGCAGGCTGGGTTTAGGGAATGTCACAGCATAGAAGATCAAGTCACCTACCTGTCACAAGCTGTAGAGGATGCCTTCCAAGAGAAGAAAAAGGTCCTGGCGGTATGGGTTGACTTCAAACAAGCTTTTGACAAAGTCTGGAAAGATGGTCTCATTGCAAAACTGAAGAGAAATGGAATCCAAGGAAACATGCTAAAATGGATCCAATCCTTCTTACACAGCAGAAGAACTAGAGTCAGTCTTGATGGCCAGCAGAGTAGAAAAGTGTTACTTCGGCAAGGAGTACCACAGGGAGGAGTTATCTCTCCAACTCTCTTTCTTGTGTATATAAATGATCTGGTGAAAGACCTCCCTACAGGAGTAAAAGCTGCCCTGTATGCAGATGATCTGGCACTCTGGTGTACCGATGAACACACCACAGTGGCAAATATAAGAATGCAGCGAGCAGCAGATCTCTTGATGACATGGGCAGAAAAATGGCATGTTGCCATCAACACAGACAAAACATCCACAACGCTTTTCTCTCTTTCCACCAGGGACAAAGCTGCTAGTATTCACCTAGGAACATCCTTGCTAAAGGAAGAAAGCTTCCCCACTTATCTTGGAGTAACATTTGATAAAAGGCTCACATGGAGCAAACATATAGAAAATGTAGAAGGGAAGGCCAGGAGACGACTAGGCCTACTTAGAAAATTGGCAGGTACAGGATGGGGAGCAAATGGAAAAACCCTAAAGAAAGTTTATAATGGAGCGATAAGACCCCACTTGGAGTTTGGTGCAACAGCATGGTCAACAGCTGCTAATTCCCACCTACAATCGTTAGACAGAGTGCAAAATCAAGCTCTTAGACTCATCACAGGATCCATGAAAACTGCACCAATCCTGAAGATGCAGAAAATAACTGCAATGCAGACATTGTCCTATAGAAGAGACACTAAAACTATGATCCAGATGGAGAAGTTTAATAGTATGCAGTCACACCCAATGAATAAAAGGTTAGATGATCTGGCATTAGGGCGTCTCAAACGTAGCAGCTTTGTCCATCGGGGGAAAAGACTTAGAAGACAGTACCAAGCTGATCTACCTATTAGAACAACACCGCTGAAACCTACCCTATACCCTGTACCTTGGGAGCAAGTCAGTGATACAATACAGATAATGACTTCAGTCAATGGATTCACAACTGGAGATGAGTCCAATGATCTTCAAAAATCGAACAGCTGCTCTTAGCATGATTCATGAAAACTATCCCGAACAGTCATGGATACATATTTACACAGATGGATCAGCAACCAGCGCGGTTAAAAATGGGGGTGCTGGAGTCTTTATTACATACCCAGGCAACCACCGCCACACAAAGTGGATACCCACTGGTAAATTCTGTTCCAACTACACAGCAGAGATTGTAGCACTAGAGCAGGCTGTCGAAATGTTACACAACACCAGTTCTGACTGCCACCAAGTGGTTATATTCACAGATGCGCTTTCAGTGCTTCAAGCCCTCAAGAGTGGCAAACTCCCTCACTTGAGATCTAAACTTGGCAAGGTGGCTGCCCAAAAGTGTACTGTACTCCAGTGGGTGCCATCCCACTGTGGTATACCAGGAAACGAAACCGCAGATAAACTTGCTAAAAAAGGGGCAGAATGTGACCAAGAAGAGAATGCAGTAACATACTATGAGAAGAAAAGGGCCATCCAGGCTATCAGAAGTGAACAGAGTCTGGCCAGAGATGACTACCACTTACTTGACCGGCATGGGCAGGTCATTGTCCTACGTCTCAGGACAGGACATAACAAACTTAACCAGCATATGCACAGGCTTCGTCTAAGTAGTTCACCTTTTTGCCCTTGTGGGCTATGTGTGCAGACTACAGAACATGTCCTGCAAGACTGTCCCTTGTTCAGCCCATTAAGAAAAGAATACTGGCCCAGTGAGTCACCACTGTACACAAAGTTGTATGGGACTAAAAATGAACTCATTAAAACAGTCAAGTTTATCACAAGAACCTGTCTGTCGGTGTAAATCAGAAAGCGAACACAAGAAGAAGAAGAAGTAGCAGTCTGAGAGAGTGTACACCCAGGATGAGAGACTAAGAGTGTTGTAGACTGACTGACTGACTTTCCACCCCACCAGGACATCATACAAGCGATAAACACCCGATGACACAAAGTGCCACCATGCAGATGAGGTCCCATAAACGGCGTTCAGACATTTGGCCATATTTATGGCCTGCCAATATTGCGGCCCCCGGCAAAAGCCAGGGTGGAGCTTCAAATAAAAAATTTCATCCTGAAAAGGACGATAAAAATAACTATTCATAACAATTGAGTGTTGTAGACCCATTGCAGTCAATTTTTATTGTGTGGATGACAGCTGATTTGTCAATTAAACTAGAATGGCAGCTGATTGGTTAATTAACCTTGAATGGCAGCTGATTTGTTAATTAACCTTGAATGGCAGCTGATTGTTAATTAACCTTGAATGGCAGCTGATTGGTTAATTAACCTTGAATGGCAGCTGATTGGTTAATTAACCTTGAATGGCAGCTGATTGGTTAATAAAACCTAGAATGGTAGAATTGTAAAAATTGGGTTCATCTTGAGCAAGAAGAATTAACAGTTTAATTTTTATAAATGGCTGTCAATTATTTCAGTCTAATTTCTGTTCTAAACGCAGCTGAGGACAACACACACGTTAAAGTGGAAGAGGAGCGTAGAAGACGGGAGGTAGTCAACATGTTTCGCTCAGCCCCTTTTGAAGACATAGTTGCACATTCAGAGGCGAAGGTATTATTATATTTCTAGTAAATTTTCTTTAAATTAATAGTTGCATTATTGTGCCTATTTGTTTGTTTGTTTTTTTTTTTTTTTTTTTTTTTTGTCAACATTTTCTGTTACATATCTTCTTTTTGTCATTCACCGACTGTTTACTCCAGTAAAGAATTTTGCTTCTTCGTCCACTTCTGGACTTGAGTCTTGTTTATTTGAGTTTTGTGTGCATTTCCATTTTACAGATCTGGCTTATTTGTATGCAGACTATTTGTTCCTCGTCTCAGCCAGATGCAATCTGACTTCAAAGGAAAAACTCTTAATTAGTTAATTAGGCACCTTTTATGACATGATTCTTAGAGGGGCAGGGGATTTTTGTTCTTAAAATAAGGCCCTGGTTGCCAGTGAGGAATGTTCAAAGTAAATTTTGTTTTAACCCTTTCTGTCCTAGAAAGCCATTATGGAAAGCCAGAACAGTGTACTAAGTTAGAAAAGAACATTACACGATGGCTGCTGTTAATTCCTATCACATCTGGGTTTTTGGTACTGTTGTTCCCTGTGTGGGTTCCGGGACCCTGTTATAGGGAAAACAAGAACAGACCCACTGCCTGCCCAAAAGCATGTCGTAAGCGTTGACTAATTGGGAGCTTCCTTCAAAGTCGGAGTGCATCTGCCTGAGAGGCAAGGAACCAGCAGTCTGCATACAAATGAGTCAGATCTGTAAAACAGATGCACACGCAAAACTCAGGTTCTGGTTCTCAGGACTGCAGTCCAAACGGGGATGAACAACCAGAACTTTCCGCCAGAGTTTACAGCTGGTGAATGCGAAGAAGAAGAAGGAACTTTTGTGTTATGGTATACAGCACAGCTGTGATATCTACGCCTTTTAGCCAATTACATCTGATTGCAGCAAATCATTAATTAGTTGCCTTTTTACAACAAGGTTGTTAGGAGGTCGGTGTGTCTGTCTTTCACCGCCACTCCCCTTTTCCAAATGGGACTCCAAGAAATCTCCTGGGGAGAGGACCGGTGATGACCTAATTCCATGGTGGTGACAAAGGCCCTAGAATGGCTGAAAACTCAGGAATTCACCAATGCATGCTTTCTCTGCGACTCAATGATCATGCTACAGAAGATCAAGGCGTGGCATATACGGAAACAATGACTCTCTCTGATACAGCACTCAGCGTTTCACAAAATCAGCTTCATTTTTGTCCCAGGGTATGCTTATGAGAGAGCAGATGCCCTGGCTGGCAGTGCAACTATCAGGAATGGGCCATCTGTGGACAGTAGAGACATCATCACTGCCATACGAGAGACTAAATGCTGTAAGGCTTTCAGTTTCGTGGAAGGTGATTTTTCACTGAAAAGACTGCATACCCTAGGTGTACTAGTTGGAGCCGCAAGACAGGAAAACCACACGAAGCCACCCGTCATTACATCAGCCAGAACAGAATGGGAGTTGTTAACCTAACAACACAGAGACATACACAGGAGGAGATTGGAGCTCTTATGGTTATGTCCAGTGTGCGATGAACAATAAATGAACAATTATTCTGTCCAGGCAGGTAGGCAGTACACTCACTTCAGGTGTACTCATGAGCTTGTTTCGCATTGTGTGTAAAAATGAACAAACTTTATTTTCAGAGACTTAAGAATTGGGCACGCAGGCCTGTCTAACATTTTGTCGTTCTAGTCTCCCTTCTTTCATACATCATTTCATTCATACATCAAAGCTGGCTACTTACTGTATTTTGTTGGCAATTTCTGTGACTCTTTCTTTCGACAGTTAGGTAGCTGCAGTAGCCTTGTGGCTAGATGCTTACATGCCGCCCCAGAGGTCTTGGGTTCAAATCTGCATTGGGCATATTTTTTTTCTTTAAACTGACCTTGGCTTCCAAGTCAGTCCCATGTCTAAGATAGATACCAGATAATCTCTGGGAAGTAAAGGTGGCTGGCGAAATGTTGAGCATATCACCCACTGAGTGCCATTTGGTATATAAAAACATGAGCCTGGCATCTTATGCCTTACATCTGCGACCCGGTTGCCCATCAGCTCGCCGGTAGATGATTTTGTCGCTGGTCAGGACCGTATTTGGATCTTTTTCAGGGCTCTTGGTGGCTTGCAATGCTAAGACATTTTATTTGCTGCATATATCCTAGTCACAATTATAACCGAAAGCTCCTCCTTCGTGAATGCTGGTTGAACGTGACGATTTTTTGTCCAGCAAAGCAATAACCTACCTATCATATGCCTTATATGCTGCTTGTAAAAACGTTTTATTTTTTATTTTTTTATTTTTACTTGAAAGAAAAAACATTTATTGACCTTGAAATATTTTTCTTTCCAGTCAAACCATTTCCACAACAAGCTCACAGAAATCCTGGAGATGGTATCACACGATCGGCTGCCAACAGAATCCCCTCAAGAGATGGTGTTTCCCAAGCTGTTTGTCTACTGAGCTACTTCTCTCATCTCTCTTGGCATCACAAGGGGAGGATGTATGCCAGAACAACACAAGGGGAAGATGTATGCCAGAACAACACAAGGGGAAGATGTATGCCAGAACAACACAAGGGGAGGATGTATGCCAGAACAACACAAGGGGAGGATGTATGCCAGAACAACACAACGGGAGGATGTATGCCAGAACAACACAAGGGGAGGATGTATGCCAGAACAACACAAGGGGAGGATGTATGCCAGAACAACACAAGGGGAGGATGTATGCCAGAACAACACAAGGGGGGGATGTATGCCAGAACATCACAAGGGGAGGATGTATGCCAGAACATCACAAGGGGAGGATGTATGCCAGAACATCACAAGGGGAGGATGTATGCCAGAACAACACAAGGGGAGGATGTATGCCAGAACAATACTGCCATTTTCCTCCACACAAATAGATCTGAACCAGAATTGTGTAAATATTGATATAATTTTATAAACTGTGCAAGTCTAGAGCAAAAAACAATGTTAACTTTTAAACACATTTGTATATGGGGTTGGTAGTTGCAAGCATTCATGAAGGGAGACCAGTATTAATGGCTGATAACTTTTACCAATTATTTTGTTTCGTTTATGTTATTTTAAAATTATGTTTAAATATTTCACGTTGTTACCATGTTAAGCCTAAACATAGCTTTTAGAATAAGAATATTTTGATTGCAGCTGGATATGAATAAACTATTCTTAACCTCCGGGTAGATGGGGCCTGGCAGCTGGGGACAGCAGCCCACCTAGGAGGAGGGTCTCTGAAATAAAACTACCACTGCCCAGTGGTCAGGACTTGGTTGCGTATGGGCTAAGTAAGTACATCCTTAAAAAAAAAGCTCGTTGAAAACAAAGAAGCCAGGTCAAAAGGCAAGGATAGTATGTGAATCCTTTCAGAAACATAGCATCACACATACTTCCTTAAATATGAGAAACCCCTAACAGGATTGAAGACTGAACCCTACCAGACCTGAGACCCTGAACCTAACTGCCCCCTATACCTGAGCACCTGGGCATTAACACGAAAAACCAACTTGATATACATAAATATTAGTTACATGCAAACAAGTGGCTAGAATCAGATGAAACTTGGAGACATTGTAGAAAATAGGTTTACCTTTTATCTAGCGCCAATATTCCACCTTTGTGTGCCAATCCACTCAGGAGGATCAACCTTGTTTCACAAAGTGAGCACCAGATGTTGCTGTTTGAGGGACACTCCCCCTTCTCCTACTAGCGATCTATTTTTAGATTTATAATTTTCAAGATTTTCCTCATTATTTGAGCTCTCTCTAAATGTGTCACTTCAAAAGTAAACGTTTTCTTCATGAAATTATGACTCCGCAGAGTCTGAATAAACTAAAATATTGATCACCTGTTGGACTGAAAAGCCTAGACCTACTTTACTTTCCTGTTGAAGTGCTTGGTTCATCCGCTGCATGTTTCATTGTGAATTTTCAGAATTTTTTGCACGTAAAACAACGCTAATTTAATCCAAACACGTGCAGGTAGACATCTAGGAAGACTATTCATGAGGTTTGATTACGATTGGCTAGTTAATTTTAGTCTGTGCCGCATCTTTTTCACGTGCTACGCAAATTGTCGCAAATTAGGGACAGCGGTATAGCGTCAGGTTAAGAAATCCCCGAAAAATCATGTCAACGGTCTGGCAGGGTTAAGTTTAAACTTTAACACTCCACCAAAACTATTATTTGATGGACCTTACCTTAAAAGTGGCAACTGTACTGTTCAGCCACTCACAAATTCAGAAATAAAGCACAGATATCCAGGTAACATATCCCAACAGAGGGACAAGATGAAGAAGACTTGTGTACCCTGTGGATTCTACGCAGAGGGGATCCACAATAATAAGAGTGCTCTCCCAAAACATCTGATCGAAGTGAATAATAATATTGCCTGTATACAGTACATGCAACTTTTCAATAGCACAGATTCTGCATTAGAAGCTTCCAATGTTTCAGACAGGATAACGAAAACTATCTTAAGGAAGGGGTCCTTATCCTAGTGAAGTACAGCATGCATCATTATTTTAATGAAGAACGAGTGAGGAACAGCATCCCAACAGCTAATCTAACAGTGAGCACAGATCAGGAAGAGCTCTCCTTACATACAGTGAGGATCCCAGAGATGAAAATTGCATACTTCTAAGAGATTTCAATAGCCTCCACAGCTAAACTAAAGAGGGGAGCAAGTGTGTGTGTGTGGGGGGGGGGGGGGGGGGGGGGGGGGGGGGGGGGCTGGCAGGGGGGCTGGCAGAAATATGCCAGACTCCAGATAATCAATGAGACAGATGACTACCCATCATTTTTTCAAGAAGATGACTCTCTGCCAGCTGTCCAGACTTCAACATTTGCTTCACTAGATTTGGCAAGCAACATTAAAAAAACTGCTTTTACAACTGACAGGCTGCGCTGAGTGATCTCTGTCATAAATGTGAGAGTTATACAAGTGTGTTTTTCATTAGCATAGAAATGGATCAACTATGGGGTGACTGGTTTGCTGTCAGGTTGGAACTATGCCTATCGACTGCCTGACTTCCAGTATGGCATTGACAGTAAGATGTGCTGCACCCCAAAATATTAAATGAACAAACTGGTAATGAAACACAGCGAATATATTTTCTGTAAACCAGCAATGTATTATAAAGCAGCTTATTTTTGGAAGAAAAAAATACAATATACATGAATTATATGTATACTTATTTGTACACTATGCACTGCAGCAGGAAAGATAGTGTGTGAATGTTGTATAACAATTTTGAATATTGGGTCCCATCAGAAAACAAAAAGCCCTGGGTATGTGTATCTCTGTGTGTATGCATATGAGGGGGCTTTAAATAATAACCTCAAAAGTAGAAATTACAATAACCATGCCATCAGTATTGTTGTTAAGGATGTCAAGAGTGTAAAGCACATGACCTCACATTTGCAGATGGATATGGTGATGTCACAATGACAGTTTAAAGACGACTGCCCCAGTTTTGACATGCACCAAAGAGGAGCAGAATTCTGTTATCCTTTATGATCAGTGAAGGGGTGAAACCTATAGAAATACATCAGCGACAGACCAGGTCAGGCACACCAAAAGATTGCAGCCATTTTAAAGTTTTTATTTGAGGCCACCTCTAATGTGACGCTTGCCTTCCAGTTTGAACCCCTAGGGTTTGAAGCCACATGGCGGTAAATTTGTTTTATCGTAGACTTAAGTTCCTGGTTCAGCTGAGCCCAACTTTTGTCAGAGGTAGTGCCATTGGAAGTAAAGGCACGTGGAGTGGTGTTGGCTGCCTCACCCATCAAGTGCCAGTTTGTCTGTTCATATATGGTTTCTCCGTGTGGGTTCTGGGGCCTTATTATAGGGAAAACAAGAATAGACCCACTGCCTACCCAAAAGCATGTCATAAGTGTCGACTAATTGGGGGCTATCTTCTAAGTCGGAGTGCATCTGCTTGAGAGGCAAGAAACCAACAGTCTGCATACAGTTAAGTCAGATCTGTTAAACAGATGTGCACACAACACTTAGGTTCTGGAACGAGACTAAAGCCCAGAGTTGAACAGTCAGAACTTTCTGTGGGATTTTACAGCCAGTGAACGTGAAGAAAAAGATGAATATATGTGATTGGCTATAGATTGTGCACATGCATATGTGAAGTCTTATTGTTTTTTTGTTTTTTTTTTTCAAATTATATTTATATTATGACAATGCAAGCTTAATTATTTAACAGCATTCAGGAATGTAAATATTTTACTTAGATTTTATTCTGCTCCGTTGTTGTCTGATTTCAAAGGAAATGTCCATCCTGTCTGTTTTAGGCAGGCCCTCTCCCTCAGCTGGGAACCTCTTTCTAGGATAACCTTGGAGAGGTGTAGATAGATAGGTCTTGACCTGTGTGAGCCCTGCCCCTGGTATATCATCCTGTGTGTCTTTGTGAATCTATAGGTATGCCTCTAGCCATTTTGTAATTGAAAAAACAAAAAAGACTATAACTAGTGACTTTATTTACTGCTTTCTAGGGCAGTGTTTTGTGCTCCTGTTGGCTGTTGGGCTGTGTGTGCAGGTTACAGGACATGTTCTACAAGAATGTTCCTTGTACAGCCCATTAAGAAGGGGATACTGACCCACAGAGTCAACATTGCACTCAGAATTGTTCGGAACTAAAAGAGAGCTCCTTAAAATAGTCAAGTTTGTCACAAGACCTCGTCTGGACATAAGAAGAAGGGCAGTGTACACAGAGAATGTAGGACCACGTGGCTAGTGCTGTTGCCGCGAACTGTGAAGGTCAGGATGTTTATTCTGCCACCGACAGAAAAATTTCATCACCTTACAAGGGTTTGAACTTAGGTCACCCGCATTAGGTCCCGACATTGTAACCGCTCGGCCAGCCACTGCTCGCTCTTTTGTATGCCTGAGTGAATGTGATGCCCTTTAAAATTATATATGTTTTAAAATGACACTGTTAGCGTAAATTGTGATTTTGAACATTTTAAGGATAAAATTGTTTTGCTGATATCATTGGTTGTGCCAGTAATGCTATTCTGCAGGGTCTGTTCTCTGAATCTTCTTTTTTCTTCTTTGCATTCACAGGCTGTAAATTCCAGCATAAATTTTGTGTGTGTGTGTCGACTTATGGGCTGTAGTCTGGCCCCAAAACTTGCGTTTTGTTTGCACATCCGTTTTACAGGTCTGGCTTATTTGTTCGCGAACTTTTGGTTTCTTGCCTCTCAGATGGATGTGCTGTGACTTTGAAGGAAACATCCCTGATTAGTTGCTCTTTATGACATCCATGTTGGAAAAAGGAGGTGGGGGCATAGTAGATCTTTTCATCCCCCCCCCCCCCCCCCCCCCCCTTTGAGGACCTGCAACCCAGATGGGAAAATACTGTGCATCAGATACAGTTTGTGGTTGTTATTTTTTTTTTTTTTTTTTTGGTGGGGGAGGGGGTTAATTTTTATATTGACTGAAATTAAAATGCTGTTAAGGAATTGAAAAATTCCACGATAAGCAAGAAATAAAGGGCAAGATTACTTGTTGATGATGTTAAGCCCAGTGCTGCTGAGTTGTCTGCTCTTGTCAGAAACCCAGAGCGTGAACCAGGGACTTCAGAAGATGGCTGCAGAATTTTGCCTTTCTTAGTCGAGGTTACAATTTTACTGCAATCGGGTCACCCTAAACCCTGGTCAGTCATTAATAGTGGTCAATTATGTTTTTATTTTAAGGAAGAAGTCTTGAGTTCACGAGACCTGCTTGCGAGAGCATTTAACAGTTTTTGTAAATTAGATGCCTGAATAGGTGAGATAAGTTGGAGATATGAATTAGTTAAAGACATAAGTGGAAGATATGAGTGAATGGCAATATTGAGTAGGCAGAAAACATGTGGCTTAGATAAATATGGGGCATGCATGAAATGGAAACGAGTGAGTGAGAGACATGATTGGGTAAGAGTCATAAATGTATGAAATATATAAGAGAGAGAGGCGTGAGTTGGGAAGACATAAATAAGTAGATGAGAGACATAAGTGTGTGTGGAAGACATAAGTGAGTGGAGCACAAGTGGGTAACAAACCTAAGTGGGTGAGAGTCATAAGTGAGTGGAGCACAAGTGGGTGAGAGACATAAGTGGGTGAGAGACATAAGTGAGTGGAGCACAAGTGGGTAACAGACATAAGTGGGTGAGTCATAAATGAGTGGAGCACAAGTGGGTAACAGACATAAGTGGGTGAGAGACATAAGTGAGTGGAGCACAGGTGAGTAACAAACCTAAGTGCGTGAGAGTCATAAATGAGTGGAGCACAAGTGGGTAACAGACATAAGTGGGTAAGTCATAAATGAGTGGAGCACAAGTGGGTAACAGACATAAGTGGGTGAGAGACATAAGTGAGTGGAGCACAAGTGGGTAACAGACATAAGTGGGTGAGAGTCATAAATGAGTGGAGCACAAGTGGGTGAGTCATCAATGAGTGGAGCACAAGTGGGTAACAAACCTAAGTGGGTGAGAGTCATAAGTGAGTGGAGCACAAGTGGGTAACAGACATAAGTGGGTGAGAGACATAAGTGAGTGGAGCACAAGTGGGTAACAGACATAAGTGGGTGAGAGTCATAAGTAAATGGAGCACAAGTGGGTAACAGACATAAGTGGGTGAGAGTCATAAGTGAGTGGAGCACAAGTGGGTAACAGACATAAGTGGGTGAGAGTCATAAATGAGTGGAGCACAAGTGGGTAACATGTTTGATTAAATCATTTTCTTTGTGATAAATATTGTGACAGAAAGTTCTTATTTCTTAAATCATTGATAAAAAAAACACAACAGATATGAAATGTATATGGCTCCGTGTGTGGTTTCTGGGGTCCCATTGTGGAACAAGTACTAAACTACGTAAAAAGACAACTGATCACATGGTTCGGACATGAGGACCAGACTGTGAGCCCTGTGTTATGGGAGGACCAGACTGTGAGCCCTGTGTTATGGGAGGACCAGACTGTGAGCCCTGTGTGATGGGAGGACCAGACTGTGAGCCCTGTGTGATAGGAGGACCAGACTGTGAGCCCTGTGTGATGGGAGGACCAGACTGTGAGCCCTGTGTGATGTGAGGACCAGACTGTGAGCCCTGTGTGATAGGAGGACCAGACTGTGAGCCCTGTGTGATGGGAGGACCAGACTGTGAGCCCTGTGTGATGTGAGGACCAGACTGTGAGCCCTGTGTGATGGGAGGACCAGACTGTGAGCCCTGTGTGATGGGAGGACCAGACTGAACCCTGTGTGATGGGAGGACCAGACTGTGAACCCTGTGTGATGGGAGGACCAGACTGAACCCTGTGTGATGGGAGGACCAGACTGTGAGCCCTGTGTGATGGGGGGACTAGACTGTGATGGAAGGATCTGTTTATAATCTCTTCATGTCATTGTTGATAAATTAAGCAATCACCAATGATCTCCATTGCTGCTGGTCTTCTGCTCACAGTAACCTGTGTCAAGTTTCCTTGGTTCTTCTAAGTGACTTTTTTCAATCGGCCAGGCTGTCCCCGCCAAAATGTCATGAGGAATTCTGCATGTCCAAGCTATCTTGCATATCATTCCTTTGTCACTTTGATACTTTTTTGCCAGAGGATTATTTTGTTTTCCACCTCAGTTCTTCCTTTGTGATCTTTTCTAGCCACAATATTCACATTCTTCTTTTGTCTGTGTTTAATCATATTTTTTTTAAAAAGAAAAAACTACTTTAGGTAGCAGAGTAGGTCAACAGGAAATGTAAGGCACCTTTCCCCTGAAATCGCAATTAGGCCTTTCTGTCAATCAATCAGTAGAACAATTGACAGTCAGACATCCGAACCTTTGTCAGTCAGAAAAATTGCCAGTCAAGACATTTGGACCTTGCTTGTCAGTCAAAGTCGATAACGCTTCGCTTCGTAATGCCGGCATGCCAGGTTTGATCCCAGCTGTGGGCAATTCGTCTTGTGTTGGTTTTGACAGTGGTATCAAAAAAACCGACCGTCCAGAAAGCAATGGCAAACTACTGGATGTAAATTGCCTAGAGAAACCACACAACAGCCAGGGGCTGTTAGGATTGGTTCTGCAGCATCCTGTAAAGGATACGCAACTAACTTGTCAGTCAGTAGGACAACCTGGGGTTTGACTTTTGGTCCTGACACTCAAATGGGCCAATGGATATTTGAATCTTTCCTCTTCTTACACAAAGCAAGGCATTCAATGGTTAAGCCATCTGAACATTTACTGTTATGCTGTATGACATTTGGATGATGGACATGTCAAAACTAATCATCAGCACTATCGGTTGGTAGACCATTTAAATCAAGGTTGTCATGTAGTATAGGATATTTGTTTGTTCATCCATCGCAAGTGATGAGGACCACTTTCTTTCATCCATCATGAAAACTGCTGCTGAATGTTTGGGAGTCCGGAGGTGACATAAGTCCAATATGTGTGAAAGAGTCTAGAACATTGAGGACAGGGCGCAGTGTCTGTAGACAAAAGGCCTGTTTGATGGTTCTTTGTTGGCTTTATCTTCGCGGTTTAACTGCCCTTGTTCTAAATGCACAGATCATTGCACTATTTCAGATTGTGTGCCATAAAGTCCAGTTTTGTGCTGCAGCCTCACAGATGTTGGGCTTTCAGTGATGCCTCTAGTGTGTCCTTGAAGCAATTTTCTAGCTCCCATGAGAATTTCGACCATCTATCTCACCATATAATATTTTAGGGAGGTGATGGGCAGGCATTTAAACAATATGAACAGCCCATCAAATCTGTGACTACATTGGGATGGTATTGATGCTGGGAATGCCCTGTTAATACGAGTGTCCAGGACCATGTCTTGCCATTTCATGTTCTTGAGTTTTTGTGTGTGCCTGACATTCTGAATAGTCTAAAGTTTCACAGGCATACAGTAAGTAGCCCACGGCAGAGAAGTACGTAGCCTAGAGATCTGTAAAACCAGCTCAGAGCCTGCTGGCATATAGTAAAGTTAAACTTTACAACTGCTTTAACTTTTGCTTCAAAGTCACTGAACTGCAACCTCCCATTCAAAACATTTTTCAAAGCACTTTCCAGCACTCAAGACCTCACTCACATTCCAGCAAAACTACATTTCACAACCATTTTCAGTAAACAAAAAATACAACGAAAACAAGCAAAATAGTTCTGTGACATCAACGATGTTTAATGTGACAATACTGATGCGACAGATGTACAGTGATATTACAACAGCTACTGTTAGTCAGTCCTGTTGGATTGTACAACCCCAACTTGTTTTGTTTTCTCCTTCGCCACAAAATGTTTTGTGGGGGGAAATAATCCTAGCAATAAACTCCTAGCTTTACTGTGTTCGTGTAAAGTGACTGCAAATGTTTTAGTGGATGTGTGAAAATACTTAAAACTTAAGATTGTCTAAGTAGACACAAATATCTGAACATTTTAACAACTTAAAGAATAACACCAACTACAAATAATTTCAGAAAACCGGCCACAAAATTGACATCACAAAAAAACTGACAATGACAGCAAATCTGACTCAAATTTTACCAGAAACACAGAAAGACTGCCCCAAGAACAAAACTACTGACAACCAGCAAAATGTCAAACAAATTTTGCTATTAAAACTTTTTAAAACTTAAAGGGGGGAAAAGACAAATAAAGTGATGGTCTCAGCTGAGGTTCATCATAAAAATTGGTCCCAGGTGGATTAGTAATCCCTAAAACAAGATAAAAGTGACCTTGCAGGATCACCATCAATGACACTGAAAAGATGAAACCTGTTACAAAAGTAACACTCTGGAAATGCTTAGAGATCGAAGAGAGGAGCTCAAAGAGTTTGTGCTGTCTTAGGCTGCATGGTAATTAAAATACAACTTGAAAGATCTGCCTGAAGAAATAAAATCCCAAAGGCACTATGTATTCCATCTCGGAAACGCTAAATGGAAACAACAAAAGCTGAACAGAAAACAAAGGGGCAGTCTCTTTATTTAAAGAAAAACACGTAAACAAAAGTAACTTCTGTCGATGTTTCATATTTTGCCTCATGCAAATGCAATTTCTTCATCATTACAGCAAGAGATTGAGTTAGCGGCCTCCCTCAGAGTCAACATATCCGGCCCAGTCATCAGCAGAGGGTAGTCTGCATCCGCAGACAGACTTTCACACCGTCTTTTGGGCGCACGGTGTTCTGGATGTACCTGGTTCCTGTTGGGGAGGAAACAGGAATGTCAGAATGGGTAATGATAGGAAAAATATCACAGGGAAGGAAAAAAAAAAAAACAAGCTGTGCAGTCTCCTCAAATCTTAATATTCACCAGCTGTAAACTTCTGTGGGAAAACATGGCTTTCCATACTTCTGGACACATCTTGCCCCAGTGAGTTTTGCAATTCTTTAAAAAGATCTGGTTTATTTGTGTGCAGACTCAAGCACTACAGCATCAAAGAAAACCACACTAATTAGTCATCCTGAAGTCTAATTAATGAAGGCTGTTTGCAGTGCATCCACTGTTTGCGGTTGAATGTTAAAGAATCGACATGACTGCACACAGGACATTCCAATAAGCGCTTCGTCCCCATCTTCAGCAGCAAGCTTAAAGTTCCAGTTACAAACAATGTGAGCAATTATATGGTAAGGTCCAGTCCTGCCCACAGTGGCGTGTTTGTACCAGATTCTGCTGAGCACACCGAGGTTCATTAACTTGCGAAATGTCAATGGACCTCGATTACCACACAAAATCTCACAATGTGTAATGACTAAGCTTCATCAAATCAATAAAAGAATGTGATGTTCAACGAACGAAAGTAAAACTACAAGTAACAAAAGCTACACAAATGAAATGACACTAGAAAGTCAAGGTAAATGAAAGTATGGATTTTCAAGGAGGAAATCTAAACAGTAAATAAAAGTATAATTTTTATAGACAGGAAACCCTTGGTCAACCCAGTGTGAAAGTTTTGGAAACTAATATGGCATGTGCGCATAACAAAAATTTTACACTGACCCAATACTGTTTCCCAAACGTGTGCAAGATTTGTCTTCTTGTGCTCGACAGTTACTATATCTGTTCAAGAAACCATAAACAACTGCTAAGTCTTGCCCTAGCCCCATGTTGTACATTGTGACGAATTAGCAGTTTGATGAAGTCAGCTGTTCTGAGCAAAAAGTTGCAGTATCACAGCCTAGCTGTAAACCACAACACAGCATACCAACTGTCCTGTCCTTTTAAGGGCGAATGTAGAAAACTGTCAAAGTCACCGTGTGCATCTCACCCCACTCAATAAGCATGCACTTATATAAATCAACTTACCAAAGGTCATCACTGCAGATGTAGAAGCACCGTGGACGTGGCATCCCATTGAAGGTGGACCCGGCGGCTATTGTGTAGGCACCCATGTCAGAGAAGTACATCCACTGTCCCACTTCCAGCTCCGGCAGTTTGCACTCATGGACGATGCAGTCAAGGCCGTCACAGGTAGGGCCCCAGATGGAGGAAACAAATCTGTCTGGAGAGTCCTGCAGCAAATAAAATCAAAATCATTCACAGCTGGCATGAATGTCACAAATTAAGACAATGTGAATGTCAATAAGTGTGAATGTTGCAAATTAGCAGTCGTGTAAATCTCCACCCCTGAAAAAAAATATGTCAAAATGTGAAGGGTCCATACAAAAAAAAAACAAGAGTGCAGATGTCAAATCCCGCCCACTTCCCTTCCACAATGTTTAGGCAACTATGTTCTAACAGGTTGGTTGCAATGGATCTCTAACACTATTTGCCTCAGTGTTGTTCATCCATCTCTTGATGTCATTCTACAGATATCGCTTTCTACACATTGCTCTCTTGACTAATTACACTTGTTTTTAATTTTAAATATTTCTTTCAACAACTCATTCATTCCCAGCCAAAAGTTAGTCTCCATGAATTTTTAAGCCGTCTTCATAGAACCTTTGTATTTTAATTGACAGTTTGCATGTACTGCCTAGTCATCTGAAAATTCACACTTTCGGAGATCGTAATTCAGTTCTATTTGTTTCTTAGTCCTTAATATATTGGGACTGAAACCTAGTAACACTGTCAAACACATGATCAACCTACTGAGATGACGCGAGGTTCCGGGTGAGCGTGGTCGTACATGATGCAGTTGAATGACCCATAAACACCATCGTTGACATAGTACATGTGGGAGGCAGCCTGCGGTGTGTTCCCATCAACATCGGGGACGTCCGGAGTAATGCTCCTCTTGGCGATAATATTCACCGCCAGAGTGAATGCTGAGGCCACCATGTACCTGCCAGGTTCGGCAATTATACGCACACTATCATCATGTGGGAAGTATGTGTCCAGGGCCTCGTTTACTACAGCAGCAATCTGGAAACAAAATAATAGAACTAATTCATTTTTAGGCACATGTCACCTACCAGTTAGTCCCACTGCTTAGTCACCCAAATGTCCCCCTTTCAGCATAACAGCAAATCATCAATAGCATCGTTATCCCTACTTTATGCTATCAGTGCCAAACATGGACAATTAAAAAAAAAGGCACCAGAACAATAACTCTTGGCAAGATCAATAACAACACAAGAAGTAACAGGGCTACTAAAACCACCATTTGAGATAAAGTCGGAATAAGACCACGCCTGAATTAAACTGACAAAGAATAAAATGGTTCAGCCATCTAGTGAGAATGCAGCCAGACCAAAATGTGACTATTGGCAGAACATCTGGGAGTAAGGCGAGAATAAGACCAAAAAACATAAATGGTGTAGCCACATAAGAAGCGCAAGACACAAATATAGAAAACCACAAGACTGGGCTACAACCTGGTATTAATGACATGACAAAAGAAGATACATTTTTAAACAAATTATTTCATGACGAATTTCATATTATTAATATACAGAGTTCTTGGCTCTACTGGCAAATCCGGACGAAGAATAAACAGCCTTGGACGACTTAGTGAGAGTTCTCCCCCGTCGCCGCACTCCAAACAGTGATCGGAAAATCCACAACGAAACAAAGAAGACAGTCACGTCGACATCAGGGCTGCCAATGCTTGGTTGTTTCCCCCAGATCTGGGGTTTTTTTCGACGCTGCAGGACATTTTTTTTTGGGTGTGTTTTGTTTGTTGGTGTTTGCCGATTTGTATGCTTTAATGATCGATAAATTTGCGTGGTTAGGGGGGTAGGGGTTAGGGTTAGGATTAGCGGTAGGGTTAGGATTAGCGTTAGATTTGACAATTTTGACGCCGGAGTTCCCTATAATCGCGCACAGTCCCATACACACAAACAAACAATCGAGGGCCTCTGGATGCTGGTCACACGCACAATTCGCCAACGATTGGGGGCACCAGCCGCACGCTATTGGCGTCATATTTGGCAGAGTTTCAGTGGCGCCACTCCCACAAACATCATATTGTCGGCCAGTATTTCAAAATCCTACGTCAAAATTTTCACATCTAACCCTAACCCTAACTCTACCCCTAACTCTAATCCAACAACCGCATGATGATGACTACACAACCATTCACAATGCCTCACGCAACCGTACGCAACTGTGCACGCAACCATATGATGATGCCACGATGTCTCACGCAACCGTACGCAGCCCTACACGCAACCGCAGGATGATAGGTAAGTTTGTCGTTTGTTTCGTTTGTTTTCCGATTACTGTTCGGAGTGCGGCGACGGGAGATAACTCTGACTAAGTCGTCCAAGTCTGTTTATTCTTCGTCCGGATTTGCCAGTAGAGCCGAGTTCTTAAATATGTGTTACACTTTCTAGCCCATAAAACAAAATGACAATACAACAAACCGCTTGTCTGTTATTATATTTATACTGATGATAACCCACTTCTGATATAATAACCCACACACAAAAATTGGCTCTAATCCTACTGCGTCCTAACAGGCAGGGAAATGCAGCAAGTAAACATTGGCATGACCCTGGGATATCAAGACTCAGAATCCTTGTGTTCACCAGCTGTAAATTGTGATGGAAAGTTCTTGTTTTTAATTCATCCTTTGTATCAAAACTTGAGTGTTGCGTGCCTATCCGTTTCACAGATGTGACTCATCTGTCAGCAGACAGTTTGTTCCTTGCCTCCCAGGAAGCTGCACTCCCAACTCTGAAGGAAGCTTCCAATTAGTCAAACTCCTGCCGCATGCTTGTGGGCAGGCAGTGAATCTATTCTTGTTTTTCCCCCCACAAAAGGGCCCCAAAGCCTACACAATGAAAATTCAGAAACAGAAGTTTTAATAGAAAAGCATAATCAGACAGCAGGCAAAATGACTTAAACGAGCAGTTGAAACTTAAAAATCTACGTGGGACTTACTTCAGTGAAAGTAATGGGAGCATTGGACTGTCCCGGGAATCCACCTCCTATATCCAGAAGGGTCATCTTGAACCCCAGCTCTGTTGCAATCTGCCAGGCATCATACGCCTGTTTTACTGCAAAAGCAAAAGCTTTGGCTTCGCCGACACCACTGCCAACATGGAAGCTGAAGGGGGAAAACGAACAAGCTATGAATGAAACATGTCAGCCAGGCTGCTGTGGAAAACAAGAAATTAAGTGTTAATTCAGAAGTTAAATTTACCAGTTCATATAATTAAGGGGGAAAACAATTTTTTTCAAAAACTATCATCATACATTACACTGCTAAATTTATCAGGAAACAAAAAAAGATTATTTTTACAAACATTATGCTAAGACTTAGTTATGTAAAGGATATGTGTAGCTAACTCAGGGATATGTGAGTATTTTTGAATGTATATTTGAAGGTATGGATTTGTTATCTAAACTTCTGTGCTTTTACTTAACATTCATACTGCAAATTTTTGTATGTGAACAATTCGCCTTTTATCTAAAATATAATTGCTGTATCAAAGATGAGTGCTTAAAAGTGCTGAATATAGAAAGGGCATGCATGCCCCGATTTGTAACCAGTTGGAAATCAAGCTGGCTCGTTAATATGATACAAACTAGGCAGGTCTTTCATGTATCCCCCCCACACAGTAATTTAGTACAGACCCCCAAACCAACCATGACTGGTATGCCTACAGCAGGGATAACGGAACCGGTGGCTCAAAGCACGTCTTGACTACAATAAAATGTCTGCACAGACAAATCACATGAGGGAGTACTGCCCTTATGTTTCAATGCCATACGCATCAGCTGAATGGAACTACTACTACTTGTGGTTGATATGAACACATGACCGTGATTCTTCTTCTTCGCGTTCACCAGCTGTAAACTCTGGTGGAAAGTTCTGGCTGATCGACTGTTGGTTCCTTGCCTCTCTACTTTGAAGGAAGCTCCCAATTAGTCGAGTCTTATGGCATGCTTTTGGGTAGGCAGTGGGTCTATTCTTGTTTTTCCTATAACGGGGCCCCAGAACCCACACACGTCAGCTGTACGGAACAAAGGTGGTCACTCTAAACTAAGGTCCATTTCATCCACATTTTTGGTGTAATTCAATGATGCAATCACACACAAAACAATTCTTTTACCTAATAAGCATTCAAAACATTTTTATGTCCTGAATTTATTGAAATACACATACAGATTCAAAACACAGGTTAATTATATAAAACCAAAATGACAGCCAGTGAACAGTACCTGATGCCCATGACATCCACCCCAAGTTCCTTGGCTCTCTGCAGGAGCTTGTGCACATTGTTGGGGTGACAGCCGAACTTATTGCCCAGCTGGCACTGAACTTTGACTTGTGCAATTGGAAGGATGCGGAGAACAAGCCTAGAAGGAAGAAACATTGATCCATTTAGTAATATATTTATGTGGGTTACAGTACAAATTAACTAACATTTAATGACAAATTAACCAACATCTGATGACAAATTGACTAGGCAATTCTTACATTCAGTAGACCGCCCACTCGTATCTGTGCCAAATACAGGCAATAACTCACTGATGTGAGCTTTGGGAGAGAACTAAACAAGTTCCAGTGGATCAAGGGGTGAAAAAAAAAAGATGCTAGCGTTGGATAAGACATAGTGGTAAAACAAAACAAAATTACTATACTGTCACTGCACTGACACCCACAGGGGCATAGAAATAAAGGTAAAAAAAACGAAACTGAAAACTGCCTTTTCAGGACAAGTAAAGAAGAATATCTGCAGCAACAAAATCGATAAAAGTAAATTGACAAATTGGCACAGATACTTACTTGGCGTGAGGGAATATCTCCCTGACCTTGATGAGTTCTGCTTCGTTATCAAAAGTCATCATCTCTACTTGATGCTTTGCTGCATACTTGACAAACGACTTCTGCTTGCAAGGGTTGGCATAAATTATGCGAGATGCCTCCACACCAAGTTTCATCACTTGTGAAATTTCACCCTGTTTGCAAAATAAGATACCTTATGATGCACGGTGTCATGTAATAACCAACAAATTTAAAAGACAATATAACGTCCTTTGTGCTGTAGTACCCAAAAAAAACTAAAGACAATATTATAAAGCGTACTGTAATAGCCAAACAAATTTAAAAGACAATACAACATTCTTTGTGCTGTAGTAACCAACAAAATTAAAGACAATATGATGCAGAGTGTACTGTAATAACCAACAAATTTAAAAGAAAATATAACGCCCTGTGTGTTGTAGTAACCAACAAATTAAAGACAATATGAGGCACTGTTTGTTGTAGTAAATGAGTGATGGTCACTGTTATTGCATGACTTGGTGGTGAAGCCCAAGTCAATGCCTTGTGGGAGTGAGCTAACAGTGCAGGAGAACTTTGTGAAGCCCAGGTCAATGCCGTGCGGGAGTGAGCTAACAGTGCAGGAGAACTTGGTGAAGCCCAGGTCAATGCCGTGCGGGAGTGAGCTAACAGTGCAGGAGAACTTGGTGAAGCCCAGGTCAATGCCTTGCGGGAGTGAGCTAACAGTGCGGAAGAACTAACAGATCATAATTGAAGATCGTGGTGCAACAGGGAGAGGACAGAGGATCTGGCTGATACCCAACACTTGGAAGGCAACACAGACATACAGACATAAACTGACCAGCAAATCACTGCGTAAAATTTACTGACCAGCTTATCACTCTTAGACTGACAATTTTAAACTAGTATTTTAGGAACTAATAACTTGCATCAGGTTGCAATGGTAGAGGTACAGAAAGAATGGCAGAACAAGAGAGACAAAATTCTGTGTACATGCAGACAAAAAGAATGGGGGCAAAATATGAAGCAGGAACAGACTACAATACTCACCGATAGGAAAGAGAAGACTAAAGGATAAAATCTGAGCTAACGACACTGCTGGGCTCAGAAGCAGAAACATATGGAGATAATCTATGTAAATATTTGTTTACAATAAATCGAAGCCCATTATCATCACTGTGAGTTCCTATCTTTTTAGCACAAGATATATAGCTGAACCACTTTTATGTTATGTCAATGTAACGGGATGAAAAGAACCACACACAAAATGTCACCTTGCTGGCGCAGTCAAATCCTGCCCCCAAATCAGCCAAAGTTTTCAGAACAACGTTGTCAGAGTTGCATTTCACAGCTGAAATAATACAAATTCATGTCACAATAAGCCAAATGACACAATAGTTAGTTACAACCCCTCAATAAGCCAAATGACAATACAGTAATATACAACCCCACAATAAGCCAAATGACAATACAGTAATATACAACCCCTCAATAAGCCAAATGACAATACAGTAATATACAACCCCTCAATAAGCCAAATGACAATACAGTAATATACAACCCCTCAATAAGCCAAATGACAATACAGTTATATACAACCCCTCAATAAGACAAATGACACAATACAGTAATATACAACCCCTCAATAAGCCAAATGACAATACAGTAATATACAACCCCTCAATAAGCCAAATGACAATACAGTTATATACAACCCCTCAATAAGACAAATGACACAATACAGTAATATACAACCCCTCAATAAGCCAAATGACAATACAGTTATATACAACCCCTCAATAAGACAAATGACACAATACAGTAATATACAACCCCTCAATAAGCCAAATGACACAATACAGTAATATACAACCCCTCAATAAGACAAATGACAATACAGTTATATACAACCCCTCAATAAGACAAATGACACAATACAGTAATATACAACCCCTCAATAAAGAGTGTAAGTCAAACAGGGAGGGGAGGAGAAGGGTGTGGTGATGTTATTACCCTCATGTGTCCTCAGTCCCATTTTAGGAAAATTGCTTTTTCTTACCCCACCCCCCTCCCCCTCATACTGGTCACCACTTCTCTTAGACGAATTCCTGGCATTTCAATGTGGGTCCAAATCTGGAAGCCCAAGTCTACAAAATAAACCTCAATGGGGTTTTCTGCGCTAGTTGGGACCAGGGCACTATCAGCACTTGGCCAAACCATTTAATCTTCTTGGTCTTGCCTCAGTCCTTAGAAAGCCCTACTGAGATTTCATGACGACAGTTTCATAGAGTATATTGCAGCACAGTAGGTGGACTGTTTCCCTGGTGGACTGTTTGCCCCAGACAAAATTGAGAGTTAAGAAACAAACAAAAAATGTTCCCACCAGAGTCGCAACTTTAAAGTAACTATTAGCAAATAGTGAGTCTATTAGCAAATGTGAGTTTCCTAGTTTATTTCCAACAAGCTTTACTAATGTTATTAGGAGGTCGAAATTATCACTAATCAATTATAGCTATCACTAATGTTATCACTAACTTTGTCAATTACAACTATCACCAGCATATTACAACAAAAATAGGCTGGCTTACCATAAAATGGCTCAACGCGGGGCAGCAGTTCTTTCCATGTGTTGAACTTCTTGATGACGTCACCCATGTCGCCTACACAGAATGCATCTTCAGATCCCTGAAAATTGCCAACAATGAGAATCACACAACGAATGATACACTGGGCTAACTTTCTCTGCTCCTGTACTCTATCCCCCAATGGAGCATATGCCCTCAACCAACTGACAAGTTATCCTATCCTTTGTAATTACATTCAGCTCATCTCATGTTCACTATCTTTTCTTTAACTTAACTCTCTAGCTTCTTTCATGCTTTGATGCTGAAGATGGGGACACAGCACTTATGGGTGTGTCCCTAGTGCTGTGATGAACCTTAATTCAACAAGCTTTCTTCATGTGTATTTGCTTTACCTTTATTTCTATGCCCTTGTGGGTTCCAGTGCAAAGACATTCTTGTTACTGTTCTAAGGCTTTTCTCAATGAGTGTCCTAACCAACACTAGCAAAATGTCTCAACCACTTGACTCAAGTAAATGGGTACCAGAGTTAACACTGAGGTAAATAAGTACCAGAGTTAACACTATGAGGTAAATGGGTACCAGAGTTAACACTATGAGGTAAATGGGTACCAGAGTTAACACTATGGGGTAAATGGGTACCAGGGTTAACACTGAGGTAAATGGGTACCAGAGTTAACACTGAGGTAAATGGGTACCAGAGTTAACACTGAGGTAAATGGGTACCAAGAGTTAACACTGATGTAAATGGGTACCAGAGTTAACACTGAGGTAAATGGTTACCAAGAGTTAACACTATGAGGTAAATGGGTACCAAGAGTTAACACTATGAGGTAAATGGGTACCAGAGTTACCACTGAGGTAAATGGGGGAACGTCGCTGTAGCTACAGAGTTTCATGCATACGGCGATGCAGGAGGACAGTTTCTTATCAGCCGTCTGTACTAGCGGCAGAGCACTTATGGTTTATAGTAGTGTGCAATGACGATGGTTCACATCTCCCAATTTTACCTTTTTTACTTCAGAATTATGAAAGTGTTCACAACAGTTAGACTATATAGGAAGACTACAAGCACAACAACAAAAATATTCAACTGCACACTTCTTACCATTCTCTCAAACTCATCAATCTTGTCTTGGATGAGCTGCGTGATGCAGGGCATGGGGGCAGCAATGGTTTCAACAGAAGAAATCTTAGAAAATTGGTGCTTCATGATGATTAGTCAAATACCAGTTCGTTCAAGCCTTTAACAAGTCGGGGTTGTACAATCAGTCTGTAGACAATATAAACACAGGGTTGCAATGCTTATACTTATCTGAAATTATTTGTATCGAATTGTTACCCCTAAAACAGTCAAAGAAAGCCAACATTCTTCTTATTTGCATTCACCGGCTATAAGCTGCAGCAAAAAGTTCTAGTTGTTCTGTGAGTCCATCTTTGGACTGATGACTTGTTCAAGAACCTTGGTGTTTTGTGCACATGTTTTACAGATCTGGGTTATCTGTATGTGGACTGTTGGTTACTTGCCTCACAGCACTTCACAGGAAGCCTCCAATTAGTGGACTGTTATGACATGCTTGTGGGAGGGTTATTCTTGTTTTCCCCCACAAGGAGACCCCGGATCCCAGAAAGAAAAAAAAAAATTCAGAAGGGCATGAACAAACAAACATTCTGTTAATACTTATACTATGATCACTTGTCCATCTATACCGTAAATGATCCTTCAGCTCTATGGTAAATGCTCCTTCAAAGACTAGACCTATATTTTACAGATCAGTCTCAGTGGGTGATGTGGTCAACATCAAGCCAGTCACCTTTACTTCCCTGTAATTTACCTGGTATCTAATTAAAGCTGGGTCAACCTGGAAGCCAAGGTCCATTGTTTTTAACCACGGCTCTGTAGGGAACTGAACCCACCACCTGATCCACAGGTGAGTCACAAATTTTGGCCAGAAAGATTTTTTTCAACAATCACGTACTCGAGCAAAGCAAGACAAATAACCATAAATCTAACAATTCCTGTATGTCTACAGGTTGCACTACTAAAAGACGTACCTGGTCTTAAAAACAGCAGCGTATAATTTAGCTTGGTTCCCACGGTGGTTCAGCGTTGAAATTGAATCTCCTTCTTATCCTAAATCCGGTCTCAGGACTTTGTGTGAAGAAGACAGTCGAGCTACTGCCCTGTGGATTAAAAAAAAAAGAGGATTTATATCTGCTCACCAACATGGTTCACACAGCACATTTTCTCTCACAATTAACTATGACTACAATATTATTTTTGCCTGAGTAAACTTTAGTTGAACAGTCCATTATTACAGAATTAGGCACACACTTAGAAATTTTATATTTTATGTGTACATGTGCAACCATGTTTTTAAAAGACTTCTCAGCTTTAGCATAGCAAATACAACTAACTATAACTTAGGGTATCTTGCCTTGGCAGTTTGCTCTTTAATTCTCTAATCTATTAATGCTAAATGTTAACAGCTTTACTTCAAACAACTTTTAAAATTCCATTCATAGGGTTTATATTAAACTAGTATATCACCACCGGAACCTATGGGCTCAGGTTCCCCCCTCCAATAGTGGGGCAGGGGCTTAGCCCAATAACTGAGTACTACAGAAACCCATTTATCTGTTATTCTTCGAATAACGGTCCTAAATTATTGAGGCGGAAAATATACCCTAACAGGGCCTCAGTCACGTGTCAACTGCTCACTTCCGGGGACTATAACGCCACGACCAAATTACAAACTTCCGCCGAGAGTATCCCCTATGCCGCTCACATGGCGTGCATTGGGGCTAAACTAGATGGCTAGGACTTATGAGCAAATAAAATGAAAGGCTGCAGGAGATGCGGTAGCTGCTACTCGTGAGTCCCAGCCATCAGCTGCTGCTCGTGAGTCCCAGCCATCTAGTTTAGCCCTAATCCACGCCGCATAAGCGGCGTAGGTGATACTCTCGGCGGTGGGGGAAGTGGCTGGAAGCATGCAATTTAAGACGACGGAAGTGCGTGTGACTGAAGTCCTGTTAGGGTATATTTTCCGACACGATATTTAGGACCATTATTTGTGAGGATAGCCTATTTAACTTAAATCGGCTCTCCTTTAAATAACGGTCGCTAGCTGGAAGGCGACGGCCATGTAGTCGGAGTTCACTCCCTTGGCTGAAGTGCAATTACGGAGCAGACAAGTTACCAATCAAAAAACAGAGGTCGACATGCCTGCTAGAGCTAGACCACGCACTACGACTGACAGTAGCGACCGCGGTCTTGCGACGCAAGACTCTCGTAGAGCACGTGCTGCGACTCAAGTTAGCCACTACGTTCTTCCGACGCACGACTTAGTGACCGTAGATGTGAGACCTGCGGATCTGTATGTCGTAATGAGCGATAAGCTTCAGTCGTTTCCGTGATTTGTCACCCTAACCCTAACCCTAGGATGACAGGTAACTATATCTGTTTCGTTCCCTCTTTATCACTCCGTATTTGCACTGCAGCCAAGGGAGTGAACGACTAAGCAACTGTCGCCTTCCAGTTAGCGACCGTTATTTAAAGGAGAGCCCTTAAATCTTGCATAGAAATTGTATTTAGAAGTATATGTTTATGGTATAACATTTTATATATTATATTATTCAAAGTAAATTATATTTGTATCTGCCATTCATTAATTAATAATGAATGTGTTCAATGACAAATAATACTATATATGAAATTTACAATCAAAAAATGCTAAAAGGAAGCATCTAAGCTCCCTTACCAAATCTGGGGCCCTTAACGTCTTGTGTGCAAGTATATGACATCACTCCACCCCTGCCATTTGCCTAGGAAATAGGTAAAGTGGTGAAAAAATCATTGGTAGGAGGGTTGAGCCTTGCTGCGTCTTGGCTAGTGGTAAAAATGGGTGTGGTTGGGGAGTTGGGCAATGATGGGAAGAAAACACTCCTCCCCCACCGGCTTTTCCTTCGCTTGTTTTTGGACAGAAAAGTTGCATGGTGGAAAAGTCGGGCATATTAGCAATTAACCCAACTCACAATTAAAGTCTTAAATTTAATTATATATTCAAAACATAAAATACTTCACTCGGCCCGGCATGGATTATTATAGAGCATGACACGTTACTGAGTCCAGTCCTCGTGGTCCCGACTTCTGGGTCTGAGCAGATCCGCCATCAGGCTAAGCCAGTTCATATCATAAGCATCATATAAATTTAATAATATATAAACTTATACACGCACTTATCCTAAAATATGGATATGTTATAATATTACTAAACACGATTTAAAAATCAGACGTCAATAATGATAGCTTCCAATCTAATGTAATAAAATTACAGTAACGAACCAATGCAAACCCGCGACCTAAAATGGATTCATCACAGATCACAGACATTATGATTAAATCGAACACCCACTCGACACAAAATAAGCCATACGCATACAAAATAACGGGAGTTTAAAACTCTCCTAAACCTTTACTCACACACAAATGGAAGAGTTTAAAACTAAAACTGTCTATTTACCTCCACAGAAGCTTCAAACTGAGCTTCGATATCTTTTAAGGACGTAATTTTTGAAACTTTACGGCCCTAGAGTGTGGAAAAATGCTTGCACACATTAAGGCAGTAGCTCGCACAAAGTCTTGTAACGCCGTAGTGGTGGAGCCAAAAGCCAGGCTCCGTCGTTTATATACCACCGCCCGGTGTATCCGGTATTGGCCAGATTGTACCGACATCACATGCAAACGTAGCGTGGTTTCCCAGAAGGCGAGACACTCCATTCACGTTCAGAGTGACTCATTCTCCTTTCAAACAGGCTCCAGATCATATAATAGATCATTTAAACTTCAGAACAAATGAACTAGCCAAGCGTATCTTGGTACCCATAAAGTTTATTTCTGAACTTATGTCGCATTTTTATGCTCTTTCATTTTTCATCCTCTTTGTTGCTAGAACTCTCGTTCTAAGGCAGCGTGTGTGGGCTGTGCGTGATTGTGTTTATATTCCCCTGCGCGATTGCAGCCATCAAAGACTGGTACCTAAGGATCGAAGAGCCACTACTCGTCTACGAATCTACTAAAACTAGTATCTGAAACCCCGTTCAACTCAATAAAACACTTATGTTGTTGCACTTTACTGTATTTTGCAATATCATTAGGCTTAAATATTGTTTCTTTTTTTATCTAAAGTAACTAAGGATGTATAAAAAATTAGTAACACATATATGGAATTAAAAGAGTTGAATCTACAGTTGTGTTGTTAAGATTTCAATCTTTCAAAAAACAAAAACGTGAATACAAATGTATTTTTATTTATTATGCAATGTGGCATGTATTAAATGTGACGCACCTCATTTTCATATTAAAAATTACTGCGCTCTATTAGCTTTGTCTAAACATTTCAAAATTGTACTTGTTTATTATTAACATTCTCTAAATATGTGTATCAAAACATCAGGGTTATGGCTGAAAATATGTGGCTGCGTTGTCTGAAAGATATTTTGCAGTGCAAAACAGTTCTTTACAGAGGAAACGTTTATCAAGCGTATAGTTACTACAACAGAAAGTTAGAAGAGTTTTGCGGAGAGAATTTCAGCTTTTATTATGGATGGAGAGGGGAATTGTTAATTTCACCAACTATCTCTTTAAAATTTTTTCTAAATAATTCAGGGCTACGGCTAAGAACAAGTGTTTGAATTGTTTAAAAAAAATTTGTTGGATAAATCAACTCTCTGCGGAGCAAACATTTATAAAGTGGATAGTTGCTACAACAGAAAGTTGGATGAGTTTTGCGGAGAGAATTTTCAAGCGTTTTTGGTGGGAGCAGGGACTGCTAGTTTCGCCAACAACCTCTTTAATAATTTTCCAAATAATTCAGGGCTAGGGCTAAGAATAAGCCTTCGAATTGTTATAAAATTATTTTGTGGGACAAAACAACTCTCTGCAGAGGAAACATTTATAAAGTGGATAGTTGCTACAACAGAAAGTTAGCTCCGTTTTGCAGGGAAAGCTCTCGGCTCCTGTGGTGGGGGCGGGAATTACTAGTTTTCGCCGGAGCAGGTCGTGGTGTAATTGACATAATATATGCGCCAGGGGGCGAACCCCAGCATGCAAATTTCAAACTTCTGCTATTTTGGGTGGCGCACTTTGTGATCCAGGCCCCGTTGCCTAGTTAGCTGTTGATAGTGACAGCCTTTCGATAACGTTAAAAGTTG